TGGGATTTTCTGCTTGGCTTTTGACTGAATCTTCCCCACAAGCTTCTCTTCTTTTGATCTTCTTCCTCCATCCCTCTTATCTCTCTCTCTCAACCAAAAATAGTGGGATTCTCGGCCACTAGTTCCAAAAACCAAAAGCATGGAAACATAAGCAAAGCGCGCAAGAAAAAAAAGAAAACAAGCATATTAACTTGAAGCCAGAGATGGGCTCTAAAAAGCCACTGAAACATCAATCTAACTCGTTATTAACAAAATTATTGCCTTGGACCTTCTCCATCCTCCTCCCCCTCCTCCTCATTCATCTGTGTTTTCATCCAATACCCTTCCTACGCTCTCCATCTAGTAAGCTTCATTCAAATAATAATAATGCTATCAACAATGACTCCGCTTCTCCTCCTTCGCGACGTACATTTCCATCCAGTCAGCTTCATGCAAAAAATCACGTTATCAACAATGACTCCACTTCCCCTTCTCCTTCGCAAGGTACATTGGTCTAGGATGCACAATAATCAAAAGGCAACATGTGTTTGTCATTTTCCTGTATTTTCAGGCTTGCATTAGTCACCAATTTTTACGTATGTATGAGAACAAAAGCTTCTGTCTTGATTTCTTGCAGATGTTAATAGTTCTAATGCTCCAACTGCGTGTGACTACTCGAATGGGGAATGGATACGTGACAAGTTGGGACCTCTGTACAATGGGACAACTTGTGGTACAATTAAAGATGGCCAGAATTGCATGAGCCATGGGAGGCCTGACAAAGATTATCTCTACTGGAGATGGAAGCCAAGACAATGCAAATTGCCAAGGTTTGAGCCTCGGACATTTCTCCAATACCTTAGCAATAAGCATTTGGCTTTTGTGGGTGATTCTGTTGCTAGAAACCAATTGGAATCCCTGCTCTGCATGATCACCACTGTTTCTTCTCCTAAGCTTGTTCGTAGTTATGGTGAGGATAACAAATTTCGCAAATGGCATTTCCCTTCTCATAATGTTACCGTGTCCATTTTTTGGTCACCATTTCTTGTAAAAGGCATCGAGAAATCCGATGAGATTGATATCACGCGAAATTACAATAAACTGTACTTGGATTTAGTTGATGAGAAATGGGCAGGGGAAATTGATCATCTGGACATGATAGTTTTATCTGTGGGGCATTGGTTTTTACACCGGGCAGTGTACTATTATAATGGTACCATACTAGGTTGCCACTACCGCTCTGATCAAAATTGCACTGAAATTGGATTCTATGATGTTTATGGCAAGGCATATCAAACAGCCGTTAATTCAATAATTGACAGGAAGAGATCATCTAGTTGCAATGCAACTGATGTTTTTGTAACTACATTTTCACCTGCTCACTTCGAAGGGGAATGGGATAAATTTGGGGCGTGCCCCAAAACAAAGCCTTATAATGCAAGTGAAAAGAAGCTAGAAGGGATGGACGCAGAAATGAGAAATATAGGGATTAAAGAAGTTAAGGCAGCAAGAGAAAAATCTAAGAAGTTTGGTAGCTTGAGATTTGAGTATGTAGATGTGTCTGCATTATCTTTCCTTAGAGCAGATGGCCATCCAGGGCCGTATTTGTATCCTTTTCCATTTGCCAATGGAATTAAAGATCGTGTACAGAATGACTGTGTGCATTGGTGTTTACCAGGGCCTATCGATACATGGAATGAGATTTTGTTAGAAATCATGAAAAGACGGGAAACTGAAGTTTAGTAGATAATGGTAAGATCATACTGTTCTTGAAAACGAATGTGCAGTGCGTTCACTATCAGAATGGTTTTTTCAGTGCTGTCCTCTTCCATTTGCGAGTGATTACTGGCCGCCATGAGATCAGGAAAACAGAATGAGAAAGGGTAATGTAGAGATATCGGAGTTGTTTTGTACAGCACATCATTTGGAGCGTGGCAATTTGTGACTGATTTTCTACCTAACATAGGACGCTTTTACAGTCAAACTTTTGTAATTTTTAACATGCTCCTGGCCTCCTCATAAGGTGAAATAACATTTACATAGGGATAGAAAGATACAGTGATTATAATGGTTCACTACATTCTCCATGTAACCCACGAAAGCGAAGCGTCATGTACCATGTATTTTGCCTACCACTTTTTTTTGTCATTTGGATGATTTTGCTTTTGAGCCGGCATACAAAAGCCAAAAGGAGATGTGAAAAGGTCAAGGAACTATTTAAGAGGACAATAAGAAGGAGCAAGATCACGTATTTGTGGGTTAATTATTCTGCATGCCAATAGGTCAAATGCTGGAAAAAAAAAAAAGAACAAGGAATGGAAATGGAGTTCTGCTGACCTCTTTTCAGTTGTCTGAGTACTCTCTTTGCTCATGTAAAGCAGTAAAACTCCGAATTGTTTGATGCGGTAAAGGAAATGACAAAAATAAAAAAAAAATTGAAAAAAAAAATCCCATGGGGTCATCCAAATAAACAATAAAATAAAAAGAACAAGAAAAACTCTGGGACGTTTCCATAATAGGTTTAAGGAGAACCCTATAGTGCATTTATATGTAACAAACCTGTTTTTGATTTATAAGAAGAATCCACAATTTGATAATAAAGAACATGGAATTTACTGAATTAGCAAAACCTCCCGCTGCCTATTGTTAAGGATTGATTAATATTTGCTGCTACAGAAGTCTATCCATTTGTCCAGTTCAGACTTCAGACTCCATACCTCATCTGATCTCCCTTTCCACTGCAAAATCAATCTCAACTCTGCAACTTCTAAGTGCTCTTTCTTCAATGGCAATCGCCTCCACATCCTATCTTCCCATATACTTGGGCACCCAGCCTCATTCCCACCACAACCTCTATCACATCCCTCACTTCAGAACTCATCAAAATCCAATCTTTACCCCAAAAAGGACACACCCTTTTGTCGTCTTCCCTAAACACACAGCGTTCAATATCATCTTCCCACTTTCGACCTCCCAATCTTCTTTTTCTTCCACCTCTTCTACGCCGACCCTCCAGAATGCACTTCAAACAGGGCGATTTCTTACTAATGAAGAGCTTGAAAAGCTTCAGTTTCTTGAGAGTTATAGGTATTTTCAGGAATTAAAATCTGGGTTTTTGTACATAAGAATGATGGATCAAGAAGAAATGGATATGACGGTTAGTTTATTGTCCGAGACTTTTGCTGAATCCATGTTGTTGCCTAAAGGGTATGTCCGATTCTTGGAGTATTTGGTGAAGCAGTATCTGATTGAGAGGAGGACTTTAATGCCTCATACTGCAACACTAGTCGGTTTCTATAAGGAGGATGAAGAGGAGGATTTACAGTTAGCTGGGACAGTTGAGGTGTGTTTCAACAAGAAGGGTGCTAATGCTTCTCCTCCTACACCTACTCCTCCCAAAAATTCTCCATATATAAGCAATATGACTGTAAAGGAGTCACTTAGAAGGTATAACTTTGAAATTTTAAATTGTTACTCTTTCTATTATATGTGGATGACAGAAAATTTATAACAAACCATCCATGGAGGGCAGCAGAGAAACTCACTTTTTAGTATTTCTCCCCTGTTGTCTGTATAATTTCGTAATTTTCAACAAAAAAAAAAAAAAGAAATATCAGCTAGAAAGGGTTAGGTGTTCCTGTGTAAAAACACCAACACAATGGGATTGGTTTCTCCAGTAAATGATATTCCTTGACTTCCTCTGAGTACGTGTTGAATTTTGAAAGACCTTTTGCACCTTATATTGACAAATGTTTAAACTTTACCGTCTGCATTAAGGCAGCAACTTTGCATATCCTACTTGCACTGCAAAGATAAGCAGTATATCCTGGGGGCTGTTAGTTTCATTTGTCTTGCCATTGCATCGGTGTCTTGCTGTGTTGTGTTGCTGTTGTTTGATGACTATAACTTAATTGTTTCAACATTATTGTGAGTGAAAGTTGAATTCAAATTTTCAGGAGGGGCATTGGATGGCATTTATTGAAAGCAAGTGAGGAATTGATTGCTCATATGACTTCCTCGAGGGATGTTTACTTACACTGTAGAATGATTGATGAGGCTCCTTTGAATATGTACATAAAAGCAGGATATAGCATTGTCAGGACAGACAACATCTTAGTCCTGCTGACATTGCAGAGGCGTAAACACTTGATGTGCAAGCAAATTCCAGTCTTGACTAGCCCTTCTGAAATGGATACTTACAGCCAGGAACCTTATTCGTAAATGGAGAGTCAAAATGATTTTGTACTTTTTGAGGTATTAAAGCGTTCCGACTTAATTGCCTTCGTTAGAGAAACCCATCGTGCATACTTGGTTTCTTTCCCTAGCTTTTGCTTGCTGTTATTGAAATTATAATTGCATCTTCCTGGCAGATGCTTGTAAGTCATCGGACCTTTTGTAACATAACTCTATTATATGATTAAAATCTGTTCAGGTGACTCTACTTGTTCTTTTTTTGGTTTCTTTAATTGATTCTGCATTTATTGCCTGCTTTAATTTTGATAATGATAATCATTAGATAGGTTTAGATTGGAAGGCCAACTAGATTTTCCTAGCTGACTTTTTGATGATTTTATTATTGAGTTTCAACCTTTTGCTCATAGCTATTTCCACTAAACTTTATTCTGACATTCTTGTCAAACGAGCTGTTTGCTTTTAGAGCATGTTTCTTTTTTACTCTTTCCTGCTTGCTGGCTGACAAGCAAGTGAAACCTGGATTCTTGAACTTGTTAACATGTTAAATCTACCATTCATATGTGAAACTCCAGTCCTGTAAACTTCTTATTTACTGCTGAACTTGTTTAACTACTCTCTGGACAACCTGAAGAACATTGTGGAACCTATAAAGCAAGTGACAATATGCGAACTATTTGGAAGCCGATAGCTCTTGTTAACTCTTCTGGTCCATATATTTCATAGAAGGATATTATGTACTTCTGTTTGAAGGTTAATACAGTTCACTTCAATATTGTTTCCCATGACAATCCGTGAAAGGATGTTATGGAATAGTTCTCTATTATACATAAGGAAAAGACGAGCAATGTCTCAGATTTTATTCACATTGTTGTACAAATCTTCAAATTACACGAGAGAAATACCTTATCAGAAAATGGTGAAGCTAAAAGAGGAAAAAAAAAGAAGGAAAAATATGACACCTGATGCTTCCGGCTGTCTATCAGAAACTCTTTTTGAGTCATTAAATTATAAAAATACCATCTTCCTTCAGACACCTATGAGTATGTTTATCATATATGACCAATCAATAAACTGAGGGTTGCTTGTAAAAATCTTAAGAATTTCTTGAACTTTGAAGATTCTAGGTTGCAGTACAGTCTTCTTAGCTGGAAGATCATTTACACGGTGTATCATGATGCATCTCTAATTTTTGTATGAAAAAGATTGTTGTTTGTTTAAATCATTCTGAAAGTATGCAGTGTCATCCCTAGTCCCCTTGAATTTGTGTAGACAATTAGTTGGAGCTCCTTAACGCATTCTATCATTGAGGGCCGTTCAGTACTGTCAATTCGTACACAGCGCGATGCAAGGCTAGCAAACATGGCTATAGACTCCATTGTATATGAATTCCTGCTCATATCTGGATCAATTATCTTGCGCAACCTCTTTTTATCATTCAATATGTGCCTAACCTGCAGCACCCATGAAGCAGCTATTAGGCTTTTATGGAGATATTTTGAACTGTTTTTGTCATGTCATGACCATGACAATGAGCATTTGCTGTTACCTGCAGTACTAAGTTCTGATCATTTGGTCCTTGGTTCAGGTCAACTGCTCTCCGTCCAGTCAAAAGCTCTAGCAGAACCACTCCAAATGCATAAACATCACTTTGTAAAGTGAGTTTTCCTGTCTGTTGCCAAGGTAGATAGATCCAAGGCTCAGTCCTTGTTGCCAATTAATGAAACCAAGTAAGAACCAACCCTTGATAGTATTACTTTCTTATCTCATAAGTTTTCAAAGGAAGGAAAAAGAAAGGCGTAAATCCCTTGTTCATTGTAGAAAAAACGCAGATACATAAGATCAAGGTGGCATGGGAAACTGCATTAATCTGTATACAAAAGACCGGAAAATAAATAAAACATCCTTGTAACAGAATTGCTAATTTAAATGTATGTTTTTGTAATTGAGGTGGGAATGGTGAAATAAGAAAAGAGAACAAGGCTTGGAGTCTCCCTTTGGACCAAGAAACAAAAAATTAGAGGGGGCAATGGGGAAATAAGAAAAGAAGAAAGAAGATGATAAGCGAATAATCACAATAATTGCCGCCTACTTGGCTTCTGAAATTCTGTTTCTGCTTATTCTTCCTTTTAATTGCACTTCTGTGTGCTTTTGCATGATGCGTTTTTAAGTGAAAATAAACAGTTAGGGTTTGTCTCGGAACACTTTATTATGCAGTTAAAAGAATTTAACTGTTGCAAGGCTGCTAGTTTATTTTTTTCTATCTTTTGATCGGTTGAAAGTATCTTCCAAGTTTTTGTTTAAATGGTTGTGGCATTAAGTTCTGAAACAGGAATTATGAACATGAAGTGGTTAAAGCCTATTGTTTTCTAGTGTTGATAGAAGAGAAATCAGAAAAATCTCGAGTTCTAGTTTTCTAGTGCTGATATCTTATATAATGAAGAGAAATTCCTATTTTCATTTATGGAGAATAGAAGATAAAATTTGTAATCCTTTGTCTTTATGGATACGTACCAACGTATATTCTGGATCAAAGTAGCCAAAAGTACCCAGCACTCTTGCTGTTACACAGGTTTCCTGGCCCTCTGGCATCAACTTTGCAAGTCCAAAGTCTGAAATCTGCAAAAACGCCAGAACTTGCAACAATTGTTATATCATAAAAGCACTTCCTACGAATCATGCTGGAATCTTTTGGAGATTTTTATGAAGTGGATGTACCTTGGCTTCAAAGTTGTTGTCTAGCAGGATATTGGTTGATTTGAAGTCTCGGTGTACAATGGGAATTCCGACAGCAGAACTGGAATGGAGATATGCAAGTCCTCTTGCTGCTCCAAGAGCCACTTTGAGTCTCAAAGGCCAATCCATCTTCAGTTCTCCAATACCTGGAAGCTGTTGTAAGACTAATACATCTTCAAGCACAAAAGTTTAGAGAAGTAGTGCAGAATTCACAAACAAACAAACCGTTCAAGTGATCTTGCAGATTCCCTCGTGGCATATATTCATAAACCAAGAACCTATGCTTCCCATCTGCACAATAGCCTATTAAAGATACAAGATTGGGATGGTCCAATCTGCTTAAGATATCAACTTCCACCCGGAATTCGCGCTCCCCTTCTGCTGCTTTAAATGACGGTAGGTCCATTTTCTTGATTGCTACAATCTGTGACTTGAAAAAAATATTCTTATAAACCATACTTTTTGGTCTTCCTCTTTCTTCATTTGTTTTCAACTATTGTTGTGAACTTGAAAGATCGAACTCCAATTGGACCACCAATTTTATGTGAAAAAACATAATACCATGGATGTGCACGAGCAATTTTGCCTAGAAATTTTTTTTTTATGTTTTAGCAAATGTACCTCTCCAGACCGTAAAGTACCCTTGTAGACTCGACCAAATCCTCCTTTCCCAAGTAGATTTTGTTCACTGAAAGAATGTGTTGCCTCTTCCATTTCTTTAAGCGTGAAAACTGCTGATCCATGGTGTCTTTTTGCAGGTGGAGCGCTGCCCTCAATTTTCCAACATTCCACTGGTTTATACACCCCTGAAAAGGAAAAGCAGAAATTAAAGAATTGATGGCCAAAAAAGCAAGTGAATTGCATGGGTGCAACAACTAAGTTGTAACGCAACAGGAGTAGAAGAACACGAGATATTAGAAACTGAAACATACAAGGATTGATGTGATCTTCAGACTTGCTTCTGCGGCGCTTATTCCACGCTGAAACCAAACCGAACGGCATGACAACTCTTGCTTAAGATGATCTCCAGTTTGTGGATTGAATAAAGCACGCATTCAGTTGAAGAGTGAAGGGCTATACTCATGGCAGTCTATGCTATGCAACAGGAAAAGGAGAATGAGAACTTACAAAGCTGGCTCACAAAAATATGGAGGAAGAGAAGTTAAGATGATGGTCATTACCTCATTATAGACTGGTTGGTGTTGAACCGGAGTCGTGCTGATTATACAGATTGAGAGAATTGGAGAAGGATATTAAGTATAAGCAGAATTTGATACTATGTAGCATCAGAATCCTGTAGGAGTGCGTACAAAGCAACTGAACTGAGAGACTAGCTTTGAGAAATACTCAAAAAAATGTAGTAATACCAATCAGCCAACAACCTGCAAATCTCACTTGATGAACAAGAAAAAGTAAACAAAGGAATGAATAAAATGGCCAAACCGGTTGCTTACCTTTGATAGAGGGGGGTGGTGTGGTGTGGTGGGGTAAGGGAGGTACCTCTGAAAAGGAAAGAGGAGCTGCAGCCTCACCTCCTTACGATTTTGTGTGACTTGGGAAAAGATTGTTGTTGTTGTTTCCTTTTCATTTTGATTACTTTCTAATCTTTTATATGATTTACCTGTGTTGCAATTAGAATTTAGTAAGCAAGAAAAAGGGCTGTTTTATGCTGTTAGTGGTTTGAAAAAGGACGTTCATGACAATTGTTGGCGAGTCGTCGTGTGAGAAACTAAGGTCTTGTTTGGATTGCATTTTTTTGGATTTTTTGTAGAAAAATTACTGTAACGATTTTATGTATGTGAGGTAAAAAGGTAATTGGAAGATGTGTTCGCGGAAAACGTAACAATTTTTTTTGGAAAAATGGCAATCGAAACACACCCTAATATTGTGTGTTTGTTTAAGATATGGATGACATATCCGATTCAACCAAAGCACGGCAAGAAACTTTGATGCCTCTGCATGACTTTCTGGATTAATTGCTTCCAGCAATCATTAACAAAAAAAAAATTAAATAAATAAAAATTATACCTCTTTCATTACCTACCGTCGTCAGCTTAAATTCTAACCCAAAGAATACAAGTGTATCTTGGAAAAAGTTTACTCAAAATCCAACAGGGCATCTTAAAAAAGAAAAACAAAATATCTAAAATGTAGAATCGGATTCAACAGTTATTTCCATGCACTAGAGAGAGTGTGTTTTTTCTTCTTTTTTTTTGGCTGTTTTTTAACTTAATGAACTATAAGTATGATTTGTAGTATTTTTTTTTTAAAAAAAAAAAAGAAGAAGAAGCATGATTTGTAGTAGAGTAATAATCTCAATAGCTTCAAAATGGGATCGAGATAACACCCAAAATTATGATCGCAACTAACATGCATCTCTCTTTTAAAAAAAAAAAAAAAAAAAAAGATAGCATCTCTTAACAAATTGGTACAAGTAATTTGTAGTGAATTATATGATATACTAATATCGGATCGAAAATGTATTGCGAAAAATGGTGTTTGATTTTTCTTGGCAGTTCCAAGGCCGACGTCAGTGCTTACTTAGTACCGGAGGTGGCAGTAGTGCAGCTCAGCTGTTGAGCCTTGTTTATCTTGATTGTTGTTAGCTACGGGCCTTTGTTTGGGCTTGAGCGATTTGAGCTGCATCATGAGGCCGCGTATGGATTGGTGTACTTTAAAGCCCGGCCCCGCTTAATATTTTCTATTTTGGAGAGAGTTTACATCTCTATCGCTATTATTGTGTTATCCGTGAAACAATCCATTCAAGCCAGTGAATTAATTCCGGTCCCATGAACTAAGTAATAATCTAATTTACGTTAAAATTAGTCCCGCGAAGAGATAACGTAAGTGGTCTACCTTTGTGGAAACTGTGGATCCTCCTCATCCTAGATTGCCTGAGAGTAGTGAATTTTAATTTCTAAGCAAAATGCCTTCTTTTTTTTTTTTAAAAAAAAAAAAAGGAACCGCAGAGCCATTAATTAATTTGTGGGACACCACTCTGCGTCTATCCACTTTTGTGGGCATCTTTATTGCTGGCACTACTATTAAAAGGGCGGACCGCTGTGGTAATAAAAATGAATTTCCCAAACCCATACCGATGAGAGGCCAGGAATTCAATGTTCCCTTTGAATGGATCAATGAAACTTCAATAACAAAATTGAAGAGTTTCAACTGTTTTGGTTAATGACTTGGACGTTTGGGATGGATGTTTCTTCCAGATTTGACTCATAACAGATTCTTTTCTAACTGCTGTTCACAAAGAATAACGTGCCCATGAGGAAAGGAAGCTCCAAACCAGTGCTTAGAAGAGTAGACCAACCATAACGGAAGGACAAAATAAATCAGGAAATTTTTTTTATGTCATAGATTGGTGTTGTACGTCAAAATTAAGCTAACGGTTCATATTGAATTGTCAGTTGTGACTCACACAAGGACAAGGACTTTTCATTTTCCATATGTAATTAATTCCCTTTATCACAAACTCTCTGGTGATTTGAGTGAAGATAGATAGATGGCTTAGCCCGCCAAGGCCCCCCTCCTTCTCTTTCTCTTTCTTGTCTGGGTACGAAGATGGATGCATTTATTATTAGTGTTTCTCTATAGAGTCGTTTGAAAAGAAATGTGATGGTAAGAGTGTTATCATTTCCAATACTTTTGCTATAAGCAGCTTAAAATTGGCTCTTTTAAAAGAAAAAGCACGTAAATGGGCAATTATAAGTTTCAGATCTTGAATAATGGCTTTGGTTTCAAGATCGGTTGGTTAGGTTAGCTAAAAAGTTGAAGAGAAGTGAAGGAAGAGTTGTAGCTTTTGCAATATTGCCATGATCGGAATATTTTGTTTCACTTTACTTCCTAATACGATAGTGGCATATTCTAAGAAAATATTAGTGTTGTAATGAATATCCATCACTGACTTTTCCTTTGGACTTTGAATCAGTTAAACAGCTCATAACAAACAAACAAAAAATTGATTGTTTACGTTTTCATTCACTTGAATTATTACTCTTGCTTCAAATTGCCCAGTGAAAATTTCCCTATTCAGCCAGAAGACTATAGACACCATCATTGTTACAAGAAACGTAACGTAAAGAAACACTCGACAGATTTATTCACCCATTACCATTAGTAAGCCTTGAATGGTAACGGTTGCCGTAAAGAAATAAATACATGTTACTGCTAGGAAGGCATGGAAGTGTGCAAATCTCATAGTCTGGTCGCTGGTGACTGGTGAGTGGTGGCAGATGAAGTAGACGGCTAGCTTTTAATGGCCAATATGAAAAATGGGGGCCATTCAAGACATTGATTTTAGTACTACTATTCAGTACTTGCCTCTATATATATATATGCCTGCTTCACCAAGGTTCTTGCACAGCTCAGTCTTCTAAAGCTTGCTCTTCACTTTCTTTGTTAGTCTATCAATTACTAGTACACAACAAGAATCGGGAATGGCAGCGAAACTAGATGTGGAAGTGGAGGTCAAGTCTTCAGCAGATAAGTTCTGGGATGCCATCATGGACTCCGTTGCTCTTTTCCCCAAGGCCTGCCCTAATCAGTACAAGAGCATTGAAGTTCTTGAAGGTGATGGAAAATCAGTTGGCTCTGTTCGTTTGGTCAAGTATGCTGAAGGTAATTAAGCGGTCGACTTATATGTTAGTAAATAATAAGTAGGACAACTTTTGGTTACTCTTGGGATATTCCTTTCTGCTTGTCTTTTTAGCTTTTTCCCAAATCCAAATTTTATAGGGACCAGACGCTTTTCATGGAGTAATTAATTGGTCAATGCTAAAAGGCTAAATTTGGTGTAATGCTTATTTTATTCACAATTGCATGGTATGTTCACTGATTAAACTCCATAATGGTTGTTAATTATACATCATGAACTTAATGGTCATCTCTTGATGTCCGGCACATTATGTCATTCTTCCCTGGTATTCATTGTTATAGGAGGGATGTATTTGGCTAGGCGATTAATTGCAGAAGGGTGGGGATAAAGAATTCTGGTCTGGCGATTTCTTGGAGAGAATATGCATCTACTTAGATTAAATGTCACTGAAAGTTCTTAATATAAATCTGCCGCTGTATAGGATCCCCGGAAATTACTTTCTCGAAGGAGAAGATTGAATTTGTCGACGAAGGGAACAAAACTGTGAGGTACAGTGTGATCGAGGGGGATCTCTTGAAATTCTACAAGCTTTTCAAGGCCACCCTGGTCGTGAGTCCAAAGGGTGATGGGAGCTTGGTGAAATGGATTTGTGAGTTTGAGAAGACAAGCGATGAAATTCCAAACCCAGACATCATCAAGGATTTTGCAGCCAAGAATTTCCAGGAGCTCGATGCTTATCTCCTCAAGGCATAGATGGAATTCTCTCTCATAGGGTCCATTTAATAATCCTGAAATCTTTTCTTTCTCCTTTCTCTGAAAAATAACCTGCAGCCCCACCCACCTTGCAGTGTACGGGTTAAATGATGCTGTCACATTATGTAGTTTGCCATAATATTAATACAACTACTATGTAAGTTTTTTTTTTTGGGGAGCTTAATGTAAAAGGTTTCAGTACTCTGTTTTCATCAATGTTTTAATCCGACCATATATCTTTCCTTTTTGGGAAACAAACCCATTGGAATTCTTCATCAATTATAATAGCTACATGCTTTTTCGGGTTACAAATTCTACCCGTAATAAAAGTAAAAACATTTACCAAGAAGTAAAAACCTTACTACTTGTTACTCCACAAAAAATGCATGGAACGAAAATCACCTCAAATTCTTATGTACAATCTTTCTTTCTTTTTCTTCTTTGTACAACAGTTCTGGGCATATGATACATCCATTTACAAGCTTCAGAATTGAATTTCCCACTACTTGTGAGAAAAGAAAAGGCCTTTTCTATTTTCGGTTTTTTTTTTTTTTTAAAAAAAAAAGAAAAAGGAAACGATGAACAACAACATGTTCATTGTTCCACTCGTACCTTTTTGTGTTTCTAAAATACACCTTTCCAACAGGATTGATTTGTTCAAAAAAATTAATTAATTAATTTTGCAGTGATTTTTTATTTCTGTACCAGTTTTGCTACTTAGGCACTCTTCATACTTGTGAGTCTTCTTGCTGCAGAAGCGGGGTCTTCTGATCATCAGATGGAGAACTCCTGCTCTTGTGGTTTTTAATGCCCGCTTCATCATAACTGATGATTTGTCCCCAAATCAGGGTGTAGTGACCCAATCCGCATGCCAAAGCTCCTATGATGCTGCACGATCACGTTATTCACTTAACTCGATATATGTGTGGATAACAAAAATTATTTTATGCTAATAATTTAGAAGAGGGTTTTCAAGATTTACGGATTCACAAAATGTGTTTTTTTTTTTTTTTTTGGAATTTTTGTACTAAGGTTGGGTGTTTACTA